AAGTAATCAAAACTGAACTTTTAGTTAGAAGCTCAAGTAAAACAAAATGACTTAACTCGTGAAAGAATAGAAGCTAGCTGAAGAAGTGTAACGCAAGTAATTAAATTGAGATTTTACGTAAAATTAGGAGATAAAAAATCATAAAATATAAAATCATAATGTTAAAAAATTGTAAGAATATAAAAGTATTTGAAATATTAATAAAATTATTTTAATAAAAGAAAATAGTAAAAACATAAAATCATATTCATAAATTAAGATTTTAACTAACATGGTATAATCCCAATGACAACATATTGTTTTACAGCTCGTTTGTATAATTGTTTTGTCTCGGTATAGTCAGGGAAAGATGCTACAGATGCAATAATAGATTGCGAAGGATCTAATACGTTAGAAGTGATGTTAGTCATGTAAAAGTATACAAGGTGGTGGAGTATATATATATATATATATATATATATATATATATATATATATATATATAGGGACAGGATCATCTTACACCGGTGTAAGAATAATAAGTCTTACACCAGATCTTAACCGTTGATTTACATGCATCTAACGGTTAAGATTTATTGTGTCTCATTAATTAATCAATCATTAATTCCCATTACATTTTAACCGTTAGATGCACAGAAATCAACGGTTAAGATTTGGTGTAAGAATTATTATTCTTACACCGGTGTAAATTGATCATATCCCATATATATATATAGAGTTTTATATTTCTCCTTCAGCATGAGAATTGAATTCTCATGTTGTAGAGACAAAAAATATGTGGGACTTGTATGTAAGAAAAAATTATGTGTAGGACTTACGTTGGCACGGAAATCGAAGGGTGTGTAGGAAAATTCAAATTCTCATGTTAAATGAGAATTATAAAACCCATATATATATATATATGAGAAAAGCATTTCTCAAGCAGTTTGAGATAAATTTATCTCCGGCCATTCCAAAACTATGTCGTTTTGTTTATTTATTTTCTAATATTAATTGATTTACCTTTGAATGGTTATGATTCCTCTTTTCTCTCTCTTCCTTTATCACTATTGATCTATCTTTGTACGATTATGATTTAGTAGTCGAAAATAAAATTATTTCAAACAACTTAAAAAATGATAACTCCTATATATATATATTATATAATTTTTCTGATATATGAGAAAGATTGTGTCTCCTGCAGATATAATTAAGGGAGAAAGAAAATAAAAAGAGTAAAGAAAAAAATGCAAATGGATCCCAGTTTTTAATTCTGTCTGCAAGAGACATAATCATTTTCCTGTACAGAAAAATTATATGCATATATACAAGGGAAATTCGAACGTCAGGATCAACAAGTAACTTCTAGTAAATATATAAAAAGTGAGTCCCACATATTTTTCTTTTTTAATTTAGGTGGGCTCGTTAAATTTCATCGTGTAGCATTATGCTCCATGTGCATATTTATATATGTATATACGAGTTATATAATTTTTTTGAAGGGAAATATTAGTCTCTTTTTACATGAGGTAATTTATCTCATTTTCTCTCACTTCGATTTTCGCACTTCACTTTTTTTTTTCTTGTAATGGTGGGACCCACGTAATTTCTCTCTACAACATAAGATATTTATCTTATGTAAAAGGAGATTAATAAAACCCTTTTTTGAAATATGAGAAAGATTGTGTCTCCTGCAAATATAATTAAGGGAGAAAGAAAATAAAAAGAGTAAAGAAAAAAAATACAAATGGATACCACTTTTTAATTGTATTTGCAAAAGACATAATCATTTTCCTGTACAAAAAAATTATATGTATATGTAAGAGGAATTCGAACGTCAAGTTGCAAGATCAACAAGTAACTTCTAGTAAACATATAAAAAGTGAGTCCCATATATATATTTTTTAATTTAAGTGGTCCCGTTAAATTTCATCCTCTAGCATTATGCTCCATTTGCATATATATATATATATATATATATATATATATATATATATATATATATATATATATATATATGTATATGTATATGTATGTGTGTGTGTGAACTTGCTTCATTATAGATGTCATTACAATAAGGGGCATGAAATATGATTCTCGCAGGTAATTAGGCTCTTTGACCCATTGGGATTTTCATCCCTTTAAATTTTTAATCTGATATTTGATTCATGATATTTATAAATGAGGAACATTGAGTGACGCAAGGAGGGATCAGCGACACTGAGTAGAGGTAGCAATATGAGTTAAACCTAACAGGTAAATTTGCCAAAACAGGATGAGTTGGGTTATACCTTTCAACCCACCAACCCGCCTCAACCCGTCCTGTTTAGTTGTAGGTCAAAATGGATTGGTGGCGGGTTGGTCAGTGGGAAAGTTTTTATTTATTTTATTATTAGTAGTGTTTTATTTGTTACTAAGCTTTTGTGATACGCATTTTATTTTTATTTTAGTACTCCCTAGAAAAATAAAGAAGAAAAACTGTATTTATGACAAAGATTATCCATATATAGAGGCAAAAATAAGTTTATAAAAAATATCTGACTGAATATTAGCTTATATTTAGGCTTGAGATTGAAAATAAATTAAAGGGAGTGTGAAATAAAAATAAGTAGTATTATAAAATTAATAAAATATAATTTATTATTATTTTTTAATTATTTTTTGTTTTTTAGGCGAGTTGACTCGCCAACCCACTTCAAAACGGGGGTGGGTTGATGTTTCCAACCCACAATCAAACGTCGGGTCACCCCCCCTTTTGGCAAGTCGGGGCAGGTTGGTTCGTTTTGGCACCTCTAGCACTGAGTGTCGCGACCCTCCCCTCGTGTTACACACATTCTTTTATTTTTATTTATTTTTTTCAATTGAGTGACGCTCTCCTCTCATGGGGCACTCATAGGATTGTGCAAGTGTCATAATCTCATTAGTCTCGTTACCGTAAAGCTTAGGAAAACCATAACTTTTGATTCGAGTATCCAAATTACATGATTTTTTTTTCATATAACTATTCGAGATCTACGCAATGACACCTCTCTTGACATATTTTATCTCACAAACATAGTTCAAATTTATAAAAAGTGGAACTATTATTGCAAATTTGAACTATGTTAATGGAAGATAAAATACGTCAAATGAGGTGTCATTGCGTAGATCTCGAAAAGTTATATACGTGAAATAAAAAAAATAAAAATTATTTGATTTGGTTATCCTAGTCAAAAGTTATGGTCTTCCGAAATTTTATGGTAACAAGATTAACGAGGTTGTGCCACTTGGCGCATTCCTATGAATGCCCTAGAGGAGGGGGCGTCACTCAATTAAAAGAAAAAAAAAATGAATGTGAGAGTGACGCAAGAGGAGGGTTGCGACACTTAGTGATGTTGGTCCCCCTCGCATCATTAAATGACCTCCACTGATAAATATGGTAAATCAAATATCAGATTAATAAATTAAAACATCAAAAAATCCCAATGCATCAAAGAGACCAGGTAATTAAACTGGTTAATTGGAAGGCGGAGATAGATTTCAATCTGGAGTAGTTATAAGGGATTAGTTGAAAACATAATCAACTTTAGTTAATAATTATGAAGCGAGAGAGATTTTGTAAGCAGTGGCGGAGCCAGACTCCAATCGGAGCTCGGGTCAAAAAATTATATGTATATTTATTATTAATTAATTCATATTATAATATATTTAAATTATATTAAATATAAAATACCTGAATAGACACTATCAAAAAGGTTATAATTTTATTACATATTTTTTAATTTTATTAAATAAATAAAAATGGAACACATAACTTAATACAACTTACCCAAATCTCTCATCAAATATATTTTATTTTTTTGATAGGGCCAAATTATAAATTTTAGCCCGGGCCAAATTATAATTTTAAACGGAGTCAAATGATAATTAATTATATGATTATACATGATAAATATAATTTGTTAAAATTTAACCCGGTCGAAATCACCAGGTAACACGTGGCTCCGCCACTGTTTGTAAGGCTATTGAAGTTTAAGAATAATAAAAAATTAAATAGGAGTCAAACAAAATCTTGTACTTTACTTCACATAAATGCTAGATTTTAATTCTCGAGTCATTCTTTAAATATATGATATAAGAGTTAGACCTAGATCTTTCTTTTTAATATATAACCTCTAACCACTATACACATGCAAATATATATAGATTAATATTAATAATCTTTATAACAAGTTCAATCGGAAATAATCCACCTGCTTTTTTTATGACAAATATGCCCCTCCCTCACCCTCACCCTCACCGTAAGCGCGTTCAACCAAGGTATTACATATCCACACTGCTACCAAGCTCAGCAGGAACTTCCGTTTTCAATTCGTAAGCTTCGTTGGGAATCCGAGCTGGAACGCGTGGATCACCGTTATAACAAACTAAAGTATAATCCGTATATGCGACACGCGTGGGATACGGTTACCGCTCCATACGTCATCGTTTGGGCCCTAGGTGAACTGTTCGAGACGTTCCCGTTTTCCTTTTTTATGAAGCCGTGTATTTCGATTGGTGCACCACCGGCGCGTTGTTCAAAAGACAGAAAGATCCGTTTGCGAACCGGCTCACACCAAATCGTTGAACCTCAATTAAAACTAAAGTCACCACGTCATTGGAAAACAATGTTTGTTAATTGTTATAACGAGTATCATTAAAGATGTTATGTTAGAGTGAACGCAAACACAACTACCCAAACAGCCCCGGACTCCGTGTCAGCAGCACCTGATTATAACCCACCACGGCTTGTGCTTGAAATGACAGAAAAATCCTCTTATATTTTATCGTGGCTTCTTATTATTGGTCAGCTAATCATTTATGTTACAATTCATGTCCACCATGTATAGAACCAGAATATATAAAAGCGACCAGAAAGGCCAAAACATATGAATCATCTCTCTCCCTCCCTCTCTCTTCCTCTTCCTCTTCCTCTCACACACAGTTCGTGACACTGCTTTTGCGGTGTTTTATTTATATTTTGTTGTGATCCTCTGTTCTGGGATTTTTCTTGGTTTAGCTGAGACAAAGATAAAAAAAACATGGGTTGCTTTCGTCTTAAAGGAAAATCACGCAAAAAATCGGACAGCAACCTCTCTAATAGCCGTGTCGAGAAGCCTATCATTCTCACTGTTGCTGGTAAATTTTGCAAATGCATTTTAATTAAGGAAGAGATAAAACATGCTTACTCATTATTTTGTTTGTGATCGTATTCAATCTTATGTCTCCTTGTTTCATGAGCAATTGTTAATATTCTATTTTTTTTTTATTTAAAAAAAAAAAACAAAATTATGGAAGTGGGTATGTCCTAAATGATCAAAGGTCGTTGTTCTTTTCGGTGTCATCGTGTACCATGTTTCATTGAGTTTCTTTTCTTCGATGCAAATTGTTGAATGCTTCTGTTTTGTTCCGTTTTGGAATTCATGTTTCCCAGGAAAAATTTGTAACTTTCTGGCACGTGAAAAAAATATTATGAATTTGTTTTTTGTTTGATTTCTGTTTATTGTCGCATTATAATTTTGGCGGTTAGCGATAATGTTCCCGTCTGGCAGTTCCTTATATTCTAAATCCTTCTCTCTCTCTCTGGAAATCGTAGGATAAGTTTTGAACATGGATGGAATAGTTTTGAAGGCTGAAACTATTTGTATTCCAAAGTATTCTTGTCATTTTGTGCTTTTGTTTGTTTTTACTTTTGATGGATGTCGGATTTTGTTAACGTTCTCCTTGGATTAATACATATATGTCGTTTTGTTTGATCTCTCTCCCTGATCAATTGTTCTTTGTTTTGTATGTTTTATATAGAAAAAGTCAAAGTTGATTTGAATGTAAATGGAGAAGGAGAAGATAATTCTAAGGATGATAAACTTTATCTGGACGTGAAGAATTTGAATTTAAATGAGGTTTCCAAGGATGGAAAACCAAACGGTTGCCGGGCACAGACGTTTACGTTCGATGAGCTTGTAGCTGCCACAGGGAATTTTAGGTCAGATTGCTTTGTGGGCGAAGGAGGGTTCGGCAAGGTTTATAAGGGGCACATAGAGAAAATAAACCAGGTTGGTTAAAAATGGATTCATAAAAAGGAAAATAATGAAATTATCGAAGCATTCTAATTCAGCTCTTGTCATGTGTTGCACATTTATGCTCTTTCATGTTGCATCATGTTAATTTCGCATGTTTATGGTTATGTTTGGTGAGATTGAGGCTTGTTTTTGTCTGTGTAGGCTGTAGCTATAAAGCAACTCGACCCTCATGGGCTTCAAGGAATTAGGGAATTTGGTGTTGAAGTTTTGACACTGAGTTTGGCAGACCACCATAATCTTGTCAAATTAATTGGGTTTTGTGTGGAGGGAGAGCAGAGGCTATTGGTTTATGAGTACATGCCATTGGGATCTTTGGAGAACCATTTGCATGGTATATACTGTAATCCTGATATCTTATTTTTATTCATATAGAATAGAATATACTGGCAACAGCATGGCTTATCTTTTCTTCGTTCCTTCATTCTGTCAGATCTTTGGCCCGGAAGAAAACCACTTGATTGGAATACTAGAATGAGAATAGCAGCTGGTGCAGCTAGAGGTTTGGAGTATATGCATGATAAAATGAAGCCTCCCATCATATACCGTGACCTGAAATGCTCCAACATTTTGTTAGGCGAGGGATATCATCCCAAGTTATCTGATTTTGGCTTGGCAAAATTAGGCCCAAGTGGTGATAAGACTCATGTTTCAACAAGGGTTATGGGGACATATGGGTACTGTGCACCAGATTATGCAATGACTGGCCAATTGACATTCAAGTCTGATATTTATAGCTTCGGGGTTGTTCTTTTGGAGATAATCACAGGCAGGAAGGCCTTCGACCAAACAAAATCTGCTAAAGAAAAATATCTAGTTGTATGGGTATGTCTATTTTACACTTTTTCTTTTTCAGTGATTGTTCCTGTCAAAAGTTTATAGGGAATTTGAATTGCAAGTGTCGTTACTTGTGAGTTTGTTGTAGTGATTGTACTTTCACTTCTCAATCATTGCAGAGCAGTTAAGCCTACTTTTATTTTGATTTTATTTGGGGGTGCTATAGAGTATTGAAGGTGTTAAGCTGGAAATTACCTTCCCTTTTCTAGTCACTGAAAGTAAGACAATAATTGGTGGGGTGCTTCATGCACAAAGCATATTGATTTTGCTTCTTTTGTGTTATAAGCGAACTGGCATTGTAGGTAACATGATGCCTCAATAGTCGTCAAAATTGTATGCTTGTGGTCTAAAGTTGTTGCAGATCTTCATACAAGGCTTAATTTGTTGTGCAGGCATTGTCTTGAAGTTCATGATATTGACATCTTCAATATACTGTTCATTTAAATGCAAAATTTTCTAGTACAGAAACCTGAAAAGCTCTAGGCATGACATATAATCCCAAATTGTTCTTCTGAGCTTTTTTATTTTGTTTGCAACAGTCTGCTGCATTAATGCTGCTTATTTACAATGGTTATTTCTATTTTTCAATAATGTCGTATAGCTAGAGTACGAGTAGTTTTCAGTTAGCTTTTATATCCTTAGAATTAGAAACATGTTAATTCACTGAACTCCTTGTACATTTTTTTAAGAGCTGGACACATTACCTTATGATTGCATTTATATTTGTTTACAGGCAAAGTCCTTACTCAAAGACCGGAGAAGATTCTCAGAGATGGCTGATCCATTGCTTCAAGGTCAATATCCAGTCAGAGGTTTGTATCAAGCTCTTGCTATTGCTGCTATGTGTGTTCAAGAGCAGCCTAATATGCGGCCTCCTATAGCTGATGTGGTTACAGCTCTAAATTACCTTGCTTCCCAGAAATATGATCCCCAAATTCACCCAATACAAAGCTCTACAAGAGGTCCATCTTCACCAAGAGGGAGATGTAGTCGTCATAGACGTATTAGTAGTTGTGGTTCTGAGACAGACAGATCTGGAAGTGGAGATTAGAAAAATGGAGTTTTTTTTTGGATATTCATATTGTAATCTGCCTAGTTATCAAATTTTGCTTCATAGTTGTTGATAGCAGGTGTCTAGTTATCAAATTTGCTTTATAGAAAATATGTTAAGGAGGATCAATATCTAAGTCACACACACAGAGAGAGAGAGAGAGAGAGAGAGAGAGAGAGAGAGAGAGAGAGAGAGAGAGAGAGAGAGAGAGAGAGAGAGAGAGAGAGAGAGAGAGAGAGAGAGAGAGTGTGTGTGTGATTTTAATTATAATACTACTTGTTGAAGTATGGTAATAGGATAGAAAGGAATATGTACTTTCATTCTATTTTTTATATAATTGCATAATATATATTATGAAAAATTATTTTTTCATACAATATGAGAAAATTTTATCATATTGTCATACATCGAAATTTGTGATATTTTTTATTTTTTAATTAAGTGATAATCTCATCACTTATTGTGTCTATAATATAAAACATGTTATCTTATATGACATGAGAAAAGAAAAATCCACATATTATATAATATATAGTATAAAATGAGGCTTTAATTTTCTACGGTGATTGTAATAAGTTATTTATATCCATTCTCAAAATGACGTTTTTGGTTGAAAGATTAAAAATGTATAAGGATAAAGACTATTATAATCTGGAAATAAATTATAATTATAAAAACACATTGATTTTCATCTAAAATGACAGAAAATATTTAATAAAAATAAGTATTGAAAAAAGAGAAACCCACATATTATATAATATATAGTATAAAATGAGGCTTTAATTTTCTACAGTGATTGCAATAAGTTATTTATATCCATTCTCAAGATGACGTTTTGGGTTGAAAGATTAAAAATGTATAATGATAAATACTATTATAATTTAAAAATAAATTATAATTATAAAAATACATTATTTCCATCTAAAATGACAGAAAATATTTAATAAAAATAAGTATTAAATCATTTCGGCCACTTTATGAAAAATCATTTTTTGGATATTAAAAATATTTAGAATATATATTATTAGGAAAAAAAAAGTATCTTTTAAAAGGACACAAACTTGTTATGTTTTTTAGGTAATTTACTCAAAGTTTGACCCGTCAGATTTTGTATAAATATAAAAAGTTGTTTTTTTTTTTCTCTTTCCAGTCACATGACTATGTGTAAAATAAAAAAGACAACTTTTCATATTTATACAAAATCTGACAAGTTAAACTTTATATAAGTCATTAAAAAAGACACAACTTGTGTCTTTTTAACGTACTTGACAATAATATGAATGTGAATCTTGTTCTATTCTTAATAAAATGTTGGGTTTAGAATTTGTGTCGCTAAGTTTTATAACCTGATCTTAGCGTGAGCAAACACTTCAAGTTCTGCCCTGAAGTTTTGCAAAGTGAACGTTAACTTCACACTTTGAGTTACGAATAAAAAAGCAATTAAAGCGAGAGGAAAGGGGTACGAGTGTAAAATTCATTGATTCTTTTGTTTGCAACCACTTAAACTAATACGAATATTTTGTGAAAAGAAAGGCCTATGACGTATAACCTTCTTTGATCATTTTAAATAATAAAAGTGATCCTTGCACCCACAAAGTGATTTACAAGTTATTCGATAACACCTTAATTCCTTATAAATCCATTCCACCTTAAAGAATAAATTCAGTACTAAGTTGTTTGTGTTAACGAGTTAGGTCTTTATATGTACCAAAAAAAAGAAAAAAAGAGTTAGGTCTTTATTATATAAAGGATGAAATATGTTATTATAGAGGTGTTTTTAGAGGCAACAGCATAAAAATAAGGGTATAGTTGAAAAATTAATGAGTTTTCCAAATCTTATAAGAAAAAACAATTCCTCGAGAGTTTTTAACTTTTAGTTTTTCTTTTCTTTATAAAAAAGCTCTTTTTATGATATTAATTTTTGTAAAATTATATTTGTCTAAACTTATGTTTAGAGCCTCAAGACTGGTATCTTCAGAACCTACTCTTCTTATCTTCTCAAACAATAGGACAACAACAACCATCTCGAACGACAATTTATTAATGCCAGTACCGGTTAAAACAATGATGTGCTCCCATGAGTTTGACAGCGAACACAACAAGTTGCAAGCTTTATCTTCCTTATTCAGATTTATATCTATAGATGAGAGTTGCGCACAAACAGTGTTAAATTCATTTAAATGAGTAGAGAAAGAATCACATTTGCTCATTCGCAAATTATACAACTTCTTTCACAGGAACAACTTGTTCACGAGTGACTTGCTTTGATAGATGCTTCCTAGCTTTGTCCAAAGATCCTTCGCGGTCTTCTCAGAAGTTACATTCACGAGAATGTTATCTGCCAGGCATAACCAGATCAGACTTCGCGTCTTCTGATCGTCTCTGGTCCATGCCCTCAACTCCTTCGACTCACCTACCTTTGATTTTCCATCACCAGCAGGTGCAGATGGCTTTTCATCTTCGATCACGTATCATACATCCCTGTCGATGAGCAGGGCCTCCACCTTCAGTTTTCATAACTCGAACCCCCTTCTTTTGAACTTTTCAACCTCGATCCGTGATTGTTTAGTAGACATCCTTCACAGATCAATTTCACAGTTTTCTCTACGCCAAGAAAAAAACCCAAATCGCGAAACCCTAATCTGTCATAGAAACCCCGGTCGCAGAACCAAAGCTCTTGATACCAATTGTTGGAAATCGACACACACACAAATCAAAAAAGAAAAAAGAAAAAAAGGAAGAGAGAAATTGACACAATGATCTACCCTTGTTCACCCAATGTAGGCTACGTCCAGCTTGTTTGTACTATATATCACCTCAGTGCCCCTTATTACAAGTCACTTAGTTTACTAGGAAATATAAATAGAATTTAGAAAATCCCAACAGTAGCTATTCATGAACCCAAACCCAAACTACTAAGAAAAAGTAAATTACAATAAGTCAGAAGCCTATAATAGTACCAGGCCTCTACGGGGCCCTGGTTGCCTTTCTGCTGACCGCGCCAATAAGGGCCCTCATCAGGATGGGTAGTATGAGTCATACCCCGTAGAGGTCTGGTATTGTTGTGGGCCTTTGTCTTATTGTAATTTTCTTTTTCTTAGTAGTTTGAATTTAGGCCCATGAATAGTTAATGTTAGGATTTTCTAAATCCTATTTATATTCCCTTGTAAATTGAGTGACTTGTAATGAGTGACAGTGAGATGAATATAGTACAGACGTAGCTACATTGGGTGAACCAGGGTCAATCACTATGTCAATTTTTCTCTTCCTTTTTTTTTTTCGATTTGTGTGTGCATCGATTTCCAACAGCTTGAACTTCAAAAAGAACAAGATAGAAAGGTTCTCTGCTTGGTTTAGAAACAAGATTGCCCGAAGGAGGAATTCTGAAGCTTCATCACAAATATATTTTTGTAAAGAATGAAAAGATTTGCAGTTGACATTTTAAGTGGATGAATAAACTGTATCAGGCTTCCCCCCACCCCCATAAAACTAGAATTAGATGTTAGCATCTCATAATATCACATTACCAGCGAGGACCTTACATCAGCCATCGAATTTGAACTCCCTATATGAGATATTGATGGGCCTGTAAATAAATATCCAAGCCCATTAGTTATCATTAGTTAGGAATAATATATATAGATATTTTGAGTGAGGTTTTCTTTATGCATGAATTCAGTATTGGCTTACGAGAAAATTCGGGATCTCTGGTAGTTGAGTTTCTAGGTTTATTTTCTGTATTTTATCATTGTAAGGAGCTTGTTTCCATTTATCTTTTCTGCAATTTTATATTAAAAAAAGTAGGATCCATCAATTTGGTATCAGAGCATCTTCGATCCTAGAGGTCTTTTCTGGTCCAGATTTGAATTAAAAAAAATGGAATACAGATCTACAGTGGTTCCAAAATTTTATAGAGAGGGAGACGATGCTTGGGGATGGAAAATTGCTATGGAACAACATTTTCAAGAAAAGAAAATAGATGAAGAAGATGATCAATTGGCACAAACACTGAGTAGGTTTAGAGGATGTGCGCTCCACTGGTATAAGTGTTGGAATGGTCTCAATCCTAATGCCAATTTGTGGGATTTTACCAAAGCGTTTATAAGTAAATATTTGCCTGAGATTTGTTTGGTAAACGAAGAAGAAGAATCGGAGCATCCAGAACCAGCAGAGAAAGAAGAAACAGAAGCAGAATCGAATGAAGAATAAGAAGACACAGAAGAAAGAAAAAAAAAGACAAAGAAGAATCAGAGAAAGAAGAAGACGAAACGAAAGATAAAGAAGAAGCTAGATCAAATAAAACTGGGAAAACAAATATCCAAGAAGAACAACAAGCGCAAGAAGATGAAGAATATCAAGAGGGAGATGAGGAGGTTGAGGCAGAGGTAAGGGAAAACTTTGAGGTGTTATCTGCCCCATTGAAACACGTAGATGACGAGCAATGGCGACAATTTTCTTGAACGATATGAGGGATGAGACTCTCATAGTGGCAAATCTGGGAAGAAGGAAGATGTGGGTGCAAAGGGTGGATCAATATGAAGTGGGCTATTGGAAAAGCAGGTTGGGAGGTAGAAACACACAGATGACGAGGTAATGACGGTAGTTTTCTTGAACGATATGGGGGAGGAGACTCTCACAGTGGTAGATGTGGGAAAAAGGAAGATGTGGGTGCAAAGGGTGGATCAACATAAAGTGGGCTGTTGGAAAAGAAGGCTATGAGGTAGAAAATTGGGCCGTAATGCATTAGGAATCAGATTTATGCAAGTTGGGCTAGGTCAAAATGAGCCTTAAATTAATAATCTGGGAACAAGAATCCAAAATAATGGAAACCCAACAGCTTGTGACCCAATGTCTATGGTTAGCATTATCGATACAAATCCTAATCAAAATGAAGGGGAGGCTCTGGGGAAAACGACAATGACAAACCCGGGAAAGGCTTCGACCATGAATAACAGCCAAGATTGGAAAGGGGGATCCCACTTCCAACGACTCAAGCAAGAAGAAAAGGATGACAAATCCATGGGTTTGCAGAGGACTACAATTTGTTTTTCCCGGTATGCCTATCATTCCAGACTTTTTCTTTTTCAATTTAGGAGGAATGGATGCTATTTTGGGGTATGTGTGGTTAGAGAGTTTAGGAGACATTCAAGTGAATTTTTGGGAATTGGTGTTACGTATACCATGGGATGAGGACATGGTGGAAATTAGGGGTAATCCTAAGTTGTCTAGGTATTGGATTTCTGCCAAGCGATTGGGTAAGGCATGGAAAAGTAGAACAAAAGGATATTATACTGAATTGGGGTACTTGACAGCTGAGTTAACAAAAGTTGCATCGTCGTCAACTGTTTTGAAAGTGCTACAAAAATTTCCAGGACTGTTCCAAATTCCAACAAGCTTGCCTACGAGTAGAAAATGTGACAATCGAATTTTGTAGAAAGAAGGAACAAATATACCCAATGACAAATCTTATGCCTTAAGCACAATGAGATCTATATGCATCAAACAATGGAACCTCGGTGGAAGTTCTATCACACCACCTATTATCACCTTGAGGACAATGTGAGTTTTAGAAAGGAAATATTGATGGGATGAAAATAAATATCCAAGCCTATTAGTTATCATTAGTTAGGATTAGTATATATAAATATTTTAGGTGAGGTTTTCGTTATGCATGAATTCAGTATTGGTTTATGGGGAAATTGAGGATCTCTGGTAGTTGAGATTTTTAAATTTTATTTTCTACATTTTATCCTTGTAAGGAGCTATCTCCATTTATCTATTCTGCAATTTCATATTAATAAGAGTAGGTTTGATCAGATACTAATATAATACTTAACCAATGGCCTGCATCAGACATTTTCAAGAATTGTAAATTAATATAACAAGAATACCATCTGTAATGCAAAATATATCTCGATCAGCATGCCATAAACTTAATACCGGTTTACTTTATTATCTGTACTGCCACGAGTACAAACCAAACCATGACTGACTAGTTTTGATTTATTTAAAGCCTTATTTCGTAGTAAATTCCTTCACAAGCATGAGCATCAGAAACCACGCCTCCCACTAAACAAGGTTCAGATTATAAATATTTACTCCACCAGGAGATATAACAAATTAAAACTTGGTAAACTTCTTTTCTTTCAAACTTTCAACAGTCTCCTTGAGGCTCACTTCCAAAGGAATAAATTCAATTCCCAAACTCTTCGCCTTTTCTTTGGAAACCTGATATGTTGGCACATACGACTTATCGTCCGCACACCTGGTAACAATGTTGACAAAGCGAAAATAGAATTAGAAAAATCAAAGTAAGAGAAACTTGAATTGTATTAAATTATATCTGTAAACACACATATTGACGAAATGATGAGTCATGTAGGGCCCATGTTACAGTAACCATTAACCTGTGATTTTTACATATGAAACAACATTTGGTGGACCTAGACATGCAAAGTTGTCATAATTAGCCTTAACTAAGGAATGCATAATTCAGTGATGAATTTCAAATGAAGAGTTCTTAATAAATTAGCATAACTGAAAGGAAGGGATGTTTTGACTCTGGTGTAAGACTTAGAAGTCTTACTTCTCATCTCAGCCGTTGATTTCCGTCCATTTAACGATTGTCATTTATTTGAAATTAATAACTAATTAATTAGTATAACTAAGTAAACTATAATCGTTTGACGGACGAAAATCAACAGTTAGGATAAGAAGTAAAACTTTTAAGTCTTACACCGGAGTTAAAAGATCTCTCCTTATATATATATATATATATATATATATATATATATATATATATATATATATATATGGTCAGTTGGTTCTAATTTATTAGATATTTGAGTCGGTAGATGCGAACAAATCAGTGATCAAGATTTGATGTAAGACTTCTTATTCTTACACTAGTGTAAGAATATCTTGCCATATATATATATATATATATATATTGGCAAAAATATTTCTACAGCAACTTTAGATAAACTTATCTAAAGCTGCCATTTTTAACAATATTCTTCCGAGAGAATATAGTTATAACGTTAAAGTTGCTCTTTTTTCTCTCTCTTCAATTACTTTTCAGAACTTTTTTGCTGACGTGGTGAGAGAGAAAAGAGCAACTTTAACGTTATAACTCTATTCTCCCGGTATAGTTAAAAATGGCAGCTGTAGATAAGCTTATATAAAGTTGCTGTAGAAATGTTTACCCCATATATATATATATATATATATATACATATATATATATATATATATATATATATATATATATATATATATATATATATATATAAGACATGAATTTTAGAACCTTCAATTTTAATGCTCTCTGACCCAGCATCAACCAAATTTCATTCCAAGAACCACCACCACTATCTTAATGTCACCACCGAATCATCAACCCACAACCTCTGTTACCCATCTTTACTTGGGATTGTAAGCTCCAACCAACTTTATCATGTTCAAAACTTTACTTTGTATTCATTTTTCAAATCCAAATAATGTTGTTTTATCTTATTTATTTATCATATATTGCTATTTGGATAGAAATCAAATCTATTTAAGACTGACTAGAAGACAAAACCAATTTTATCATGTCTTTTTATCCAATTTTTCAAATCCTAATTCAATTCTTCTTATCTTATTTATTTATTTTATATTGATATTTAGGTAGTCATCAAATATATTTGAGATTGATTATAACACAAAACCAACTTTATTATGATTAAATCTACTTTCTATTGAACTTTACTTTTTCTATATCTTTCCAATATATTTCAAATTTTTATATCTTCTAAAATAATTCAAACATTACCTTTCAACAAAATTAGGAGAAAACTATAAAATAACTCTCATAACATGATTGATGGTTTTAAGCAGGACTGCTCAATCACCATATGAACAAGGCTAGTAGCCATTTTTGAAAAGTGAAAATGGGGCAATCGCCCCCTAGCTCCATCAATGATAATGTTACTAACTGTGTGAAGGCTTTAAATGAAACATCAAGTTATCTCCTACTACAGTAGGTGTACATAAAGTAGAAGTAGGTGTACATCAAAGTTCTACTTTGAATCCTTATCTGTTTGATCTAGGTATAGATGAACTAACAAAAGATATCCAAGATGAGGTAATATGATGTATGCTCTTTGCATATGACATTGTGCTTATTGATGAGACCAAAGATGGTATTAACAAAAAAATAGAATTGTCGAGAGGCATGTTGTAGACTAAAGGATTTAGACTAAGTTGGAGTAAGACTCAGTATATAAAGTGTGAGTTTGCAACGACAAGAGATAGAGATCAAGATTCTATGTATTTGCTTGGAAAGAAGGTACCAAAGAAAGATGTTTTTAGATATCTTGGGATCAATTTTGTAAGAAGGGCGAAAGATTGATGAGGACAAAGAGTCATAAACCATAGAATCAAAGCTGGATGGATGAAACAGAGCAGGGAATCAAGATTTTTATATGATTGCAAAATTCCTCTCAAGCTAAAAGGAAAATTCTATAGAATAACAATAACGCTTACAATGTTATATGGAGCTAAATTTTGGCTAGCAAATAGGCCAGATGTTAGGGTAGATGTGTATAAGGGTGGATCCAGTTCGATTTAGTTCAACAATGGTTTGGTTTGAAAACCAAATTGGTTTTAGTGTTTCGTTTGGCAAACTGAACCAATTTTACTTTTTATGAACTAGTTTTGGAAGCAAATTGGTTTAGAACCGGTTTTGTTTCCGAACAAGATCTAAGATAGAAAGTAAAATAAAAAATATTAAAAATATTAAAATGCTAGTAGTTAAAGAAAAAAAACCTATTCGGTTCTTTTGATTTTCGAACCGGTTCAAACAAAGTGGTTTGGTTATTGAACCTATTCAACTATACTACATGTTTAATAATATATCCATCATCTAAGATGACAATATAGTGCAGAAAGCAATTACTAAAGCATAAACCAAAAAAAAGTTAAAAGTTATTCTTTGAAATAAAAAGGCACAAAATAATGAAGTATCTACTAGCTAGCTCAAAATCATACAATAAAATTTTACAAACATTCAGGGAAAATAACTTTTCCAACTATAAAACTCTTTCATTAATTTGCCAACTATAAAACTCTTCCGTTAATATGCCAACTACAATACTTGGCAAGAAAATGAGGAAAAAACAGAGAGAGGTGTGCTAAGAAAATATAATATAAACCATTAATCTAGCCTTCACCAAACAACATTTTTAAGTTCAGCACTGCATTTAGAGAGAGGAAAATTAAGTTCTCAATTTGTAGTCTTTGAAATATTTTTAAGTGCTTATATTGTAAATAAGGAAGATATTGAATTTAACATAATTAATAAGCCTATATTAAAGTGAATTAGTTTCATTAAATGATTTAAATAAGGAAATGGTTGTTTTCAAATTCATTCAGTGACCTCTCAATTGTTGACTATTTTCTGCACTTTTCTACTTGATTGCATTTTCTATAGAGGAAGGTTATACTTACAACTTTTTTTTTTACAACATCTTACAACCATATCTTATCACCGTTGATTTTCGTCAATCAACGGTTATCATTTGTTGTGAATTAATAATTAGTTAATGAGTTTAATTTGCTAAAATGATAACCGTTGATTGGCGGAAATCTAAAGGTGATAAGATATGATCATAAGAGGTTGTAAGAAAAAAAGGTTGTAAGTATAACCTTGCTCTTTTCTATATGCATTAAATAAACCACATTAATTCAATATCGATGCTGAGTTTTTTCATTGCAGCACTGAATTGAGTTTTCAAACAGGCAAGTAAAGCGTTAAAAGAATGGGGTAACAAATGGGGATTAGCATTCATATATATATATTTATATAAATTATATGCATTCTTGAAGATAAGGAAATAATTAAACTTACTTCTCTGGAAGCTGTAATGTCGGGTACAGATCACGTAAAATCTTCACAATTTCTGAGTAATGAACAACTCTCTCAACCAAACAATATCTTCCACTAGCTGAAGCAATCTCATAAGCCTGAATATGGGCGTTTGCAACATCTTTCACATTGATCCATCCAACAGAAGCATTTGGAAATGTTTGTGCACCTGCATTATGGCAGTGAAAGAGTTTCTTCTATTATGAAAGAGGACAAAATCTTGTCCAGTGGAAAAATGAATATATTTGAAGCACATAGGCACCGCTAATATTCATTAATATAACAGTTAAATACCTCAATAACCAACCAATGACATTGAAAATAATCGATGACATTTTAAAAAAATAGGGAAAAGTTCACCGATGCCCCTGTGGTTTACTTCAGAATCATTTATGCCCCTGTGGTTTTTTTTCTATCACATATGCCCCTGTGCTTTGTAAAAAATAAGAAACCACAGGGGTATATGTGATAAAAAACATACCCTTTTACAAACCACATGGGCATATGTGATAAGAAAAAAACCACAGGGGCATAAGTGATTCTAAAGTAAACCACAGGGGCATTGGTGAACTTTTTCCAAAAAAATATTAGACAATAATCAAGCTAGACATAAAAAGGGAGTATACTCTCTTCCAGATCAACAATAACTGTTACAATTTTAAAATGCGCATTTCTTCAATGTACTATTGGATTGTACTTATAATAACCCTCATTTTCTTGTTCTATTTTCATTTTCATTTTTATATTTTTTATTTCCCTTTTCATTTTGCTTGATACAGAAAAAGAAGTTGAGTTCAAAAACATGTAATCCAGATGCAGACAAAGCAGATAATAGACATCTGTACAATATAACATGTAAATAACAATTACCGTTAACTATGTTTAAAACTGAAGCAGCACTAGTGTTAAGGACTGGTTGCAAGAGAGGCCCGATTACCATTGCTGGGTTAATAGTAACCATGTCAATGTTGTTTTCTTTCGCAAATTTCCAGGCAGCATCTTCAGCCAGAGTCTTTGAAAGCACATACCACATCTGAAAACATAAATATGAAATGGCAAGAATGTTGACAAGGTAGCATAAAGCACAAAGGATAAGAGCCTTCATCAACAGTCTAGAAAAGCCCAAAGGTAGTTGCTCCATTGCATGCTCAGGTAAGTCTTCAGTCTCAATGGGACTAAGTGCCTCTAAGACAATCCTATCTAACTCCTGGATACTGGATCCAGGAATCATAGATCATATGAGTCATTTATCTTCCCATTTTTCTGAATATGTCCCTTGTCCTAGTAGTAGAAGAGAGTGTTATCTTAGTATTCCCATTTAGAGAGAAAAGTGTTATTTTGACTCCTACTATAAGAGAGAGTGATATTGGTCTCTCCTTGTATTGTAGAGAGGTGTAATTTCTTCCACATAGTGAAAATCTTCTTTGATCTTGTATGTAGTTTTTTCCAATTAGATTTTTCACGTAAATCTTGTGTTACTTCAATTGGCACATTTATTGCTCTCTTGACCCACAGAATCAAGATAAAATTAATTACATTGTTAATGTCTAGGAAAATGAGTTATTATTTAATTAATCACCGTCGTATAGTATGGAGAGACTTCTATTGGTTTTCAGTTACCTGGCCAATTAGTGTGGTTAATAGTATATTTAAATTTCGGTTTTTCTCAACTTTATTTTAGTTGCATGATAGGATTTGACTAGCATATAATAAGTAGACTCGGAAAAACGACCGTACTAGCAAGGAGACATATTCTTATGTATTGTACTAATTAATTAAATAATATATAGTAATTAATAATATATATTTTTTTGTCGAGATTATGGTTTATGGAAAATGAAGTTTATGATAGCGTTTCATCGAGCGAGGTATATAATTATGGAAAAACATTTTCTTATGTTACACGAGAATTCAATTCTCATGTTTTGACCTTTCGATTTGCGTGCAAAGTTTTTCTTTTCTCTTTTTCTTTTTAATAAATGTGGGGTCCACCACTTGTTGAGTCACAACATGAGAATTCAATTCTCATGCAACATGAGAAAATCAAACCCCTATAATTATACTTCTCATATTTATGACTTGTCAGTAGAGCAGAGAAGGAAAGCTGATGTAGGAAAAAATATAGAGATATATGATAATAGGTAATAAAATATTTAAAATAGTGGATGTGAATAAATGTCAAGAAAACTTGACTAAAAATATTGGGCTTTATATTTCTCATGTGATAGGAATCAAAAACTTTTCTTATGCACACTCAACCAAAGTGAGACCCATTATGAGAGAGAAAAAAACAAACCAAAAAAAGTAGAAGCACGTGGATCGATGAGTGAGTGGAAATTTATCCTCCTCTTATGCAATATGAGAAATTCATTACCCAAAAATGTTATTTGAAATGTTTCCATCAAATCTTCTTCTATACTTCTTTCTTAGGAGTAAAATTTTTTGGGCAAAACTAGTCCCATCAATACAACGAACGGGAGTAGTGCTAGAATAGTATCTTTCATATTAATTAATGTTGTTAATATTTTTGAGGGGACTGAACTGAAAATCTGACGTGAAAGCCAATTTTGTCATGCACACTAACGAGACTGATGTCGTAAGCTCAATTGACAGGATTAACTGCTCTACTTTAGCACAACTTTTCAAACATGTTTTTACTTGAAAAAACTTATGAAAAATATTGGTAGTACTATCGTTTTGCCAAGTAGACTCTGAACAAAAGAATGATTCTAAGGGAAAACGTAACAAACCTTTGATTCCTTACACAAATCAGGATTTGAAAACCAAGTCTCATCAACTACTAGATCGGGAGTTCGAGGCTTTCCACTATATGTAACTGCAGCAGTAGAAGAGGTTAAAACAACGCGTTTCAGAGAAGGCGATTTAACACATGATTGAAGAACATTCAGAGTTCCCTTCACAGCTGGATCTAATAATTCAACCTGAAATTTAATTTAAAAAAATAAGAAAAACAGTAAACTCCACTGTCGTGTCATGAAAAAAAAAAACAAAACACATACATCGAAGAATTATAAATAAAATGTAAACTAATGCGGAAATGAACCTGCGGGTCCTTGACATCATGATAAAAGGGAGATGCAGTATGAAAAACACCATGACAACCTTGAACAACGGAGTCAAAGGAACCTTCTTCTAGAAGATTTGCCTTAAACAAGTGCAATCTCTCCTTAGCACCATCAAGGTTAAGCAAGTGCTGGATCTTTTTGGGATCATCTGGACACAATTAATCTTTTAATTTTAGAAATCTAATCTAATAAGGGAAAAATGTGTATCATTTTAAAGGATGTAAAATTATGTCATTTTAAGTGAGAGAAAGAGATAGATAAAAGAGGAGAGAGAGTGAAAAAAAATTTAAAGACGTGAATCCCACCTAGTAAAATGATATAAGTTGTGTCATTTAAAATAGGATAAACACTTTTCCATATAATAATACACAAACGATTATGGCCAGAAGAACTATATCATATCAATCAATAATCACAAACAAGAGAACCAAATAATAATAATAATTAAAAGAAAGAAAACAGACTTGTGTCGCGAACAGTGGCTTTGACAGTGTAACCGCGATGAAGAAGAAATTTAACGATCCATGAAGCTATATAACCGGAAGCACCGGTTACACACACCACCTTTCCCGCGCTGCTGCTCATTTTTCACTTCTTTCTTTCTTTCTTTATTCCCTCTGCTTACGAAGCCAGTAATGACAACACTAGTCACTAGTCCCCAGTCACCACAAAGCGTTCGCATGCACATTATATATAATTGGGATATTTAAATATTATATTATTAGGCTCCTCAGTCCCCAGTCATCACCAACTCCCATCAATTCCTCCTTTATTAAATGAATAAACTCATTAAAGTTTGAAATTTCTTTGGGGCGGCGGCTACTTTGCTTGAAAAGAAAACCACTTTTTATTTTCTTGCAATTTTTATAAATTTTTTTATATAAATTTTACAATATTTTATTACACACTTTGTGTTATGAACTAAAAAAATTAAAGCGAGAGGAAAGGTGCATGAATGTAAAATTTATTGATTTTTTTACATGCAACCACTTAAACTAATAAGAATATTTTGTGAAGAGAAAGGTGTATGAACTATAAGCTTCTTTGATCGTATTAAATAAGAAAAGTACTTGCACCCGGTCCTTTACAAGTTATTGGATGGCACCTTAATTCCTCACGAATGCATTCCACCTTAAAGAATAAAATCAGTATTGAATTGTTTGTGTTAAAGAATTAGATTTGATAGAGGTGCTTCTAGAGGCAAGTTACGGTTTGAGTATCTAATGGTGACTCAATATTTGGCATAATAACAACTCATAATTGCAATGGATGCAAGGGACTCTGACGTCATTATTCCAAAAGCTAACTCAAAAGATGAGAGTATCTAAAACATTATAAAGACTACATTAATTGCTTATACAATCAATGTGGGACTCGTAACATTGTCACTATCTTCAAGGGCCGACATCCACGATGGTTTTCACTCTATTGACAATGATCCAATAGTAGTCTTTTCTCTTTTGGCGTGTAACACTCCAAATTTCTAACAATTTATAAAATATTCTTATAATAAATAAATTTCAAAATTCACGTTTTATATTAATTATGATAATAGAAATATTGCGGAAGCTAATCTAAAATTAATTTAGGGAAATGTAACCACCTCACCTGTACAGGGACAAGTGCAAGACTAACTCTATTACATTCAAATAAAATCTAAGACTACATTTTTATACATAATATTTATGACTAGCTAGAAATTCTGAGTCGTTATCCTTACTACCCACTGCTAGCCCGATCCTTTGGAACTTGTTTCACTGAAACTCTGCTCCCCCGAAGGATCATTGCAGTCAAACAAACACAAAAGTCAGCAAAGCTGGTAATCCCAATCAAAATACAATTAATGTAATTAATAATCAAATTAAATCAAATATCAATATATATAAGCAAATAGTGATCAAATCAATATCAATTCCACATTAATCAAATCAAATATCAATATATATAAAATAATAATCAAATTAATATCAATTCCATCATATATTATTTATCTTTATTAAGTTCATTTAGTGTACTTAGTGGGAAGAGAACCATGGTAGACCCGAGAAACCCTGCCAGTCTAATCTGTAACCCAGAAAATCCTGCCAGTTACAAATAATCAAATTGGCATAATCAAAACATCTCTTCCTAGTGTGCACACCTCTTCCCAAAGTTGCTACTAGTATCCCGAGAAATCCTGCCAGACACCACTTTGGGAAGAACAAATATTATCTGCTCACATCGTATAAATATAGCGGAGGCATAAAGTACAAAGGTTGTGTTCATCACTTTAGGAGGTACCATCCCAAAACTATCCTCCCACCGTTAATTTATTTCAATCACACACAATCAGGAAAAATTCAATCTTGTCGCAATTACTATATTTGAAATATTTATTCTTTAAGTATTATCTTTGTTGCTCAAGAGCATCATAATTTTTCAAATATCTATAATTTTCCAACATTTATAAAAATTAAGGTCTAAATCATATGAATTATACATCATCACAATTTTCCAACATCTATCATATCAATTATCCTTCATCATAATTTTTTCCAATTTATTCAAGAATATCATAACTCAAAATTCAACATCTATCACAGAAAGCCCAAATCCACTCATCACATCAATTATCATAATTTTTCAAGCTATCAAAATCATAATTTTCACAATTAAGGATCCATATCACACATATATGACACATAATTAATCTTCCCAAAGATACCATAATCATAATTTTCAAAAATTTGAATTATTCCCCAAAAATAATCATATAATTAATCATGTTATTTTCTAGGGGCTAAAACCCAATAAAATTTCCAATAAAATTCATATATAACTACCTTACGATTAACTAAAGGTTAGGACTATATATAATAAATTTCATATAAAACTAATATATTATTTCCTAAAGGTCAACATAACATTAAACAAAATATCATATAAAATTAATTTATTAAACCTAAAGGATTAGGACACACCCAATAAAATTTCATATAATAATTTTATATAAAACAAATCTATGGTGCCCTAAACATCGGGATTACATCAAACAAGACTCATATCAAGCTACCATATTACTCTCTAGGAATTAGGATTAATCTACCAAATTACATAAATATAACCTACAACTCTCTAGGGATTAGGATTATCTGGTCTCCGTTTGGTAACAAAGGAAGATAATAATAATAAAAAAAATTTGAAGTAAGGAGAGAGAGAGTAGAGGAGAAGAAGAGTAGAGGGGAAATGTTGAAAAGTGAATTGGTTTGGTTATGCTAGCCTCTATTTATAGTTAAAGTTTTGGGCTCGGATATGAGTTTCGTGCAATTGTTTCAATTGTTCCTTTTGAAAAGCAAACAGGAAATAGAAAAACAAAAAAAGAAACTAGGAACACCTCCTAGACCAAACTACTCCTACATAGTCCCTTTCAAGTTTGTCACGACAACCAGAAGGAGGCGAGTCAAACTCTTGTAAAGACCAATCAAAGGAGTAGGCAAAAGAGGCCATCCAATCGGCAACCCCATTCCCTTCCCTATGAATATGGGAAATTCTAACCCTCCAATTCCAATCCAGCATATTCCTTATGCGCAAGACCAAGTTAGAGGCTGGATGATCAGAGCTGCACCCTTCTCTTATGAAAAACTGGGCTACTAAGGAATCACCTTCAAGCCAGACAAAACGGAAACCTTTCCTCCATGCAATCTCAAGCCCAAGGAGACAACCCCAAAGTTCTGCTAACAAAACATTACCACAGCCAAGATTTTTACAAAAGCCAACAAGCCACCTTCCACTAGCATTCCTAAATACACCCCCACAAGCAGAAGCTTCTCCATTATTCATACTTGACCCATCCACATTGAGCTTAACCCAAGGGTCCGAAGGAAAAACCCAAGAAACTAATTTCTCTTTATTCGAGTTAGTCTCAAGACCAGCAACCCGAAGCGTGCTTTCTGACCAAGAAAAATCTTCACCATAGACCATAGCAGCTCTAAAAGTGCCATAAGCAGGAACAGAAGATCCCTGAAAAATTTTCTTATTCCTAGCTTGCCAAATGAAACAGGAAATGATACCAAACAGAAGAGGCCATGATGGCAAATTGGACCAATTACGATCCTCAGAGATATTGGACAACACCCATTGCTGAAGATTAAGAGAGAAAAAATCCTCCCAAGCCTCTCGCTTAACTGCAATCTCCCACACTTTTTTTGCTGCAATACAATCTCTAACCGCATGTAAGGAAGTTTCCGTAAAACAATTGCACAGATGACATATATCTGAACCCGCCATGTGCCGTCTGCAACGCCTTTCATTTGTCAAAATTTTATCTCCTAACAACAGCCAAAGGAACGTACGAATCCGTTCAGGTCCATGCCACTGCCAAACGCGATTCCAAGGTAAATTGGTAGATTCCTCGTTACCCCTGGATATGGCCATATAAGCGGACTTCAGCGAAAAACTCCCATCAGATGTCCTTGTCCACAAAATTCGGTCATGACCATTAACATCCGAAGGAGGAAGGATGTTATTAATACGAGCATTGACGTGATCGGGAAGACTATGCTGGAAAGCCCCCCACATCCAACTTCCGGAGGATGAGACAAGATCAGAGACCATTAGCTGATGATTTATCTGAGAGGGATCAGAAATAGCAGCATAGGATGAGAGTGCACCACAACCCGGAACCCACGGGTCATCCCAAAAATGAGTAGAATTTCCATTACCTAGCAAAATTCTGGAATGCTGTAATATCACAGGCCAAGACGAAACAATTGCTTTCCAAAGAGAGGAGCTATTCCGAGTAGCAGAAATATTAGGAACCAAATCAGACTGAACTTTATACTTGCTCTTTAAAACTCTAGCCCAAAGCGCGTCTGGATTAGAAAGGATCCCATAACCAATTTTCATAATAAAAGCCCTGTTAACTTCCTTCATTTTCCTCAGACCCAGCCCTCCATGATCTTTATCCATGCACAACTGATCCCACGCAACCAGATGAGGACGAGTAGATGCTCTATTAGAACCCCACAAAAACCTCCTAATATGTTTCTCAATATCATTGCAGATTCCGAGAGGAACAACAGAAACTTGCATTGTGTAGGCTGGAATAGCTGAGAGAACAGCTTTCGAAAGTGTAATTCTTCCTGCTAGAGAAAGACTGGTGTGGTTCCAGGCATTAATCCTAGATTGAACTCGATCGAGGATATGACTGAAAGCCGCCCTCCCAACTCTGCGATGATGAAGAGGAATACCCAAATACTTTCCAAGATCCACCGTCCTTGAGAAGCCCAACTCACCACTAAGTTCCTCTGCCAAAATATGATTCACATTGTGGGAGAAGAGAATTTTTGTTTTTTCATGGTTAACCTTTTGCCCAGAAGAAAGACAAAAATCATCTAGCACCTTGGAAATGGTTTGGGCCTGATCAAAGGATGCATCCGCACAAAGAATAAGATCATCCGCAAAAAGAGGTGAGAAATGGGAGGAGCATTTCTCCTCAACATGATCGGCTTCCAGCACTTTTGCCTAACTGCATGGGAAATGAGATGACCAAGTCGCTCCATACAAAGAATAAATAAATATGGGGACAAAGGGTCACCCTGTCTAAGCCCCCTGGATGGGAA